CCTGTGATGACGTCAGCTACGCGGTTTCGTCGAGCGCCCTTTAGTCGAACGCGGTTTTGTGGTGGAACCGAAAAAAATGGAGCAACTAATATCTAGAAGTGATCTAGAATCAAAACAAACAGGTGAATCCTAATTTTTGTAGCATCCTAGGAAACCTGAATGTCTGTGTAGCACTTTTTAAAATCCCGAGTGATAATTAATATTTGTCTCAATGAACGTGATCATTTTTTCTTTTAAAATGTACAGAATATCTGTGTATTCAAGGAATATGGGCAATAATTATTTTCCTAAAAGAAACTCTAGCTTTGAGGCATCTTGTGTTAAATTTTACATGCGACACAAAATGTTGGGGATTAGCAGAGGTCCTTCCCTTTTAATTTTATAATCTCAACTGGATATTTTGCAAAAGATTTTAGATATCCACTCGTTAGCTGGAAAAATTGAATTGTGTTTTTTTAAAAAATTATATATATATATTTATTATTAACTTGGACCACTAGAGGGTACTACAGATCTGAACAAGAATACAAGATGTCAAAACCATATTTAAAAAAAATATAAAGTCTGGTCTTACAGGCCTATATATAACTATGAATGTGGTGTAATTGTTTAGCAGAACAAAAATGTAATATAGGCTACTTTTCATGAGTTATTGGCTGTTGTATATTAACCGTACCAATACTAAACATCTTGAAGATTGAAGGGCATGAGACGTTGTTGATATGGCACGAAGTTCATGGACAGAGAAGATGCATTTATTTATTTACAAGTAGCCGTCACATTTATTAAGATGCACTTCAGTCATACTACATCTGTAACTAAGACTCCGCAATACTCAGAGGGGAAGAATCTAGATGTCCTCCACGGTCCTTTCCAACCCTGTTACTCTATATTCTATGAATGCTGCTACAGAAATAATGAATTTAATTCTTAGCTTAAAGATAACATCAGTTGGTTATTATTCCAAAGGCAGATATAATAATAGATTATCCACTTCAGAAATATCAAATGAACTGATGGTTTCAAGAATTTGTTAATTAAAATTCCTGCAGTACCTTCGTAGTCTTTTAAACCCTAAATCAGTGTTTCTCAACCTTGGCAACTTGAAGATGTCTGGACTTCAACTCCCAGAATTCCCCAGCCAGCGAATGCTGGCTGGGGAATTCTGG